TGGTCAGAATAAACATGGCAAGGGCTTCTTTGAAAACCTACATTGTATGGCATGCACTGAGGGGCCTTGTGAGCCAGAGACCTTCCTATCAGGTCACAGTGGAGGTCCCGTGGATCCCCTTGGGACAAGTCAGGAGTCACTGCTGCAGTCTTGGGTCTGCAGTCCTGCATCCCGACATTAATGGGCAACATCAGACTTCTCTGACAATGGATTGTCCCTGTGCCCTCTTTGTCCTTCTGAAATACTTGATGGTGAGTCAGAGTCCAGTCCAAGAGGGAGGGGGCCAGGGATGCCTGTACTTCTGAAGGAGAAATGAGGCTCAAGTCACCGAGTCTGACATTTAGGGACTGACTGTTCCTTCTCCCACCATAGACTGCTCGTCAGGAGCTGAGACCCGAGTAACCCCCTTCTCTTGAAGTTTTTTGTTTGGAAGGTTTCATCACAGCAATAAAGAAGTAGGCAACACAGTCTCTATCTGTAGCTCTCAGTGTGATCCTGTCTGAGCCGGCCACTTTGTGTCTCTCAGTACTATGACTGGCCCATGTGGCACCCTGTCTCATGTCTGGGTTACACTATGTCCCTCCTGTGAGCTCCTGTGTGCCCAGGGCCTGGGTGTGAATTCTGCCTTTGCCCCTTAAGAACTGGATCCTGGACTTTGCACAAGCTGCCACATTCCTTCTTTCAGGGTGTATTTTCTTTGGCTGTGATGTGGCCCTAGTAAACGTAGCTCAGAGGAGAGCTGTGGGCTAGTTTTTAATGTGCATTTATTTATTTTAAACATTCATTTATTTATATATGTGGAGGGTGGGGGATGTGCATGTGCCAGCCAAGGCAGGTGTGTGGAGGTCAAAGGGCAACTTGTAGGTGGAAGTCTGTTTTCTCCTTCCACCATGTGGATTCTGGGTATCGAACTCGGGGGCTTGGCAAGCACGTGCCTTCAGCTGCTAAGCCATCTTGCTAGCTCAGGAAGGCTGTTCTAAAGTCAGAGTGAGAGGGATGGACATACTGCTGCAGGGCAGGGGCCACACCCCAGCGGCCATCAGCAAGTGCCCTCTGTTCATACCCCACCATGACAGTCTCTTCCCTCCCCTCTGGGTAGTAACTTCTGGTAAAAAGGACTGTAACTTACAGTCTGTGGTTGGTTTGCACCACCAGAACCAACCCAGAATGAGAACTCATGGAGGACAACCAGTTGGCAATGCACTTGTGACCATACAGGCCCCTTTCTGTGCCACCTAGACAGAAGGACCAGGGGCCATAGCTTGTTGGAGGGGCTTGTTCTCCAGCTACCAAAAGACTATTACTCCAACGTCTCACCCCCAACCAGATTCTTGGCTAAGGCTTTGAGGGTCTGGGATGTTTCCATTTGCCCCAGCCCCTAGAAACAACATACCAGATGTCTCCCAAAGGAACCACACATTCCACTTCTCAATGAGAGACATTTTTGTTTAAGGGCTAGAAGTTAAATATGCAAGACAGGGAGAGATTACCAACAGGAATTTAACCTAGGACCCTGTGTCTAAAAAATTATTTATCTACTTGGGGTGCTCCCTTCACCACTGACACTGAAAACAACCAGATTATGTGATAGGCAGAGTAGGGAGCAGCCATGGACCTCCCTGAGCTGAGCCATGGATGGGGCTGGGCTGGGAAGAAGGCAAGTCTCCAGCCTGCAGGAGGAGCTGAGATGCCGCCAGCAGAATGATTGGCAGAAATGGTGCACAGAAAACAGAAGGGGCTACAGCCATTACTGCAGGACTTAGGATCAATAAACATCCTTTGTTCCTCTCAAAATTACCTTATTTTCTTTTTGGACTCTGAAATGAGAGATGTGGGTTTTAATTGGTCACTACCACGTGCTCTGCTTCTGACATCCTGACAAGTGTCAAACACATTTACATACAGTAATTGTGTTTTAAAACAGAGATACGGTTAAAAAAGAAAAATGTATCTTTGCACCCAACATTCAGGTTCACCACTGCAGACGTGGGTAGACATTCTGCTGTCTGCATGTGTACATTCACCAAGGACACATCTGGAGACGGGCGACCTTGAATGTTCACATTTGAACAACGGTGAGTTATAAACAAACCTTTGCATTGAGGCTGAGAGCAAAGGGCATTGTGTGAATATCTCATTCAGGGGGCTCCATATTCATGTGTGTTTACACCTAGAAGCCGCTGACAGAGGAAATATGGAAAGGCAACTGGGAGCTGGGACACCATGATCTATGCAAAGAGGATAACAAAGACCCAGTGCTTCCTGTGGCATAAACAGTGGCTGAGTTGAGACATAGTTATGTGACTGGAAATATGGGTTCTCTAAGAAAGCAATCAGACTTCGGTGATTAGATTGGCATGTATCTTAGTCAGGGTTTCTGTTGCTGTGAAGAGACATCATGACCACGGCAACTCTTTTTTTTTTTTTTTTTTTTTGAGACAGGGTTTCTCTGTGTAGCTTTGCGCCTTTCCTGGGACTCACTTGGTAGCCCAGGCTGGCCTCGAACTCACAGAGATCTGCCTGGCTCTGCCTCCCAAGTGCTGGGATTAAAGGCGTGCGCCACCACCGCCCGGCGAACCACGGCAACTCTTATGAAGAAAAACATTTAATTGAGGTGGCTTACAGTTCAGAGGTTCAGTCTATTAGCATCATGGTGAGGCATGGAGGGAAGCAAGGCAGCATGCAGGCAGACATGGTGCTGGAGAAGCAGCTGAGAGTTCTACATCTTGCATAGGCAGCAGGAAGTGAACTTTCTCACTGGGTGTGGCTTAAACATATATGAGACCTCAAAGCCCACCCCCACAGTGATACACTTCCTCCAACAAGGCCACACATCCTAATAGTGCCACTGCCTTTGGGGGCCATTTTCATTCAAACCACCACATTGTTGTACTGATTAGATTGTGTGTGTCAGCTTGACACAAGCTGGAGTCATCAGAAAAGGAGCCTCAGTTGAGGAAATGTCTTCATGAGATCCAGCTGTAACCATTTTCTTAATTAGTGATTGATGGGGAAGGGCCCAGCCTGTGGTGGGTGATGCCACCCTGGGCTGGTGGCCCTGGGTTCTATAAGAAGGTGGCTGAGCAAGCCACGGGAAGCAGCAGTAAGTAGCTCCCCTCCATGGCCTCTGCTTCAGCTCCTGCCTCCAGGTTCCTGCTGTTTGAGTTCCTGTTCTGACTTTCTTTAGTGATGAACAGCAACGTGGAAACGTAAGCCAAATAAACCCTTTCCTCCCCAACTTGCTTTCTGCTTGTGGAGTTTTGTCGCAGCAGTAGAAACCCTGACTAAAATGGCCTGTTTTTGACTTTTCCATCCATCCACTCTGAAGCCCAGACGCTGAGTGTTCTCTCACAAATTCTGCTGCCTCTGATCCTGACCAAGCAAGAAGGGTCAGACCTGTAGTTCAGAAACTCAGTTGTCCTTGATTCAAACCCTGGTAAGGCTCTCCTACAGTGTGAGGTGTTTCACAGAGGGAAGGGCACCAGGTTTTAATAACCTCGGACAGTAAGATTTCATGGTGTCCCATGGGAGAGAGCAAATGTCACCTGTTTCACAGATGTAGAACATGAGGCTCATGGGATTAAAGTGGTCTGACTCACAGGGGATGTGTTTAAGTTTTGAGCTCTAGGAAGTTCACCTTCTCCTCCCATGGGCCTGAACCAGGCTTTTCAAACCTCAGCCCACCTTCCAGCTTCCTGCTGGGCGCTACTCAGCCAATGTTTGTCTAGTGTCTGACCCCAGAGTACAGGACCCCTCGGGCGGGCCCTCTGGACCCTGCAGCAGCTCCTTCGTAGTGCCTTACCTTTTGAGCACTCTCATCTGCTCAGCTTACCTCCAGAGGCTCGCACTCCCTGCAGGCTTTGGTGCTGAGGACCCCGTGCCCTGTGCTGTCTGGTTTGATTTCACCTGAGCCGACTGTACAGTGCTCTTCTGTCTGGAGTTCACACTGGAGCTGTGTGCAAGATCTCACAAGCTACTGGTGTGCCAACAACTGGTGTTGGTGTAGACCTTGTGTCAGGGTTTAATCTGAAACGTCTCCCATGGGCTCATGGGTTTAATATTTGCACCTCAGGTGATGGCATGATTTGGGGAGGCTTTTAAAAAGATGGTGGAAATAGGAAACTAGGGGTGTGCCTTGGAAGGTTACATGGGTTCTTTGCATCTTCCTCTTCCACTTCCTGGTCTGCGGTGGTGTAAACATTGGTCACATGACCCTGTTGTTATCCTTCCCTACCCTGCTTGACCCTCTGAAACCTCAAGCTAGGTCAGCATCGCCTCCCTAAAGTTGCTTCAGTGGAGTATTTTGGTCCTAGTGCTTTTTTTGTTGGTTTTTGGTTTTTTGAGACAGGGTTTCTCTGTGTAACAGCCCTGGCTGTCCCTGAACTCTGTAGATCAGGCTGGCCTTGAACTCACAGAACAGAGATTCACCTGCCTCTGCCTCTCCACCAAATGCTGGAATCCAAGGCATGTGCCACTGCCACCTGGTGATTGGTCCTAGCGATTTATGCCTCATTCCTGGGCAAACCTGCTGCCTGGTTTATGGTGATAACCATGCAAAGGAAAGAACGGTCCCCAAGATAGTGAGGAGAAAACACAGAAACTGGTGATTTCTAGGTGCATCTGCCAATCATGGGGAGAGATGGAGGCCGCCGACACACCTGCTTTGCTGACCACCGGGTTATAATAATCACAAGCAACAAAACCAAGCATGAAGCAGCAGGCAACACAGAAGTAAATGAATAGTCAGACTGGACTGCATGTGTCGTGAAGCAGAGGGTCATGGTGTCCTCTGATGGTGTAACACAAAGACCCCGCCCCCTCATTTGAATGGAGGTGACAGGGGTTCAGGGAACACTTCCCTAAGACTTAGTGTTTATCTGAAATAACACAATTGAATGAGAACAAACTGGACGAGGAAGTGGAAAAGAATGTTCGCGGAGTGGGGGACTTCCCATTCAAAGGTCCTGAGGTGCAGTGGATCTTCATGGAGAAGGAGATGAAAGGGACCCGCTGACCCTGAGAGGGGGAGGGTGTCCCCAGAGGGGGCTGGATAAACTCCCAAAGCAGATGTGTGAGAGCTTGTTGAACATGGCCAGGATTTTGGCTTTTATTCTGAGAGTAACAAGACGTTGCTGAAGGATGTGAGGCCAGGGAGGGGCTGAGGTGACGGTACTGGGGAATGACCATGCTGTCCTGGTGTGGAAGGGTCATTTTTAGAGAGCAGGAGGACTTAGCTGGTGGCCACTGAGCGGGGAAGGTGAGGCATGCTGGGCCCTGAAAGGAAGGTATTAGTGCTGGGTGAGGAAACATTCTGGAACATGCTGCAGGCCTGCAGCCCACTTCAGGTCATTCTCCAGCTAAGGTTCCCTGCTGTCTGCTTACCTGGGTGTCAAGGACAGCATTGGAAATGGTCCCTCATGCTCACAGCTTTTTCACCTGGAAATCACCCAGCCAGGTTGACTTGCCCTCTGACAGGTAGGAGCCACCTCCAGCAATACTGGAAGAGAAAGATGGTACTTGGTCCTGAACTTGGTTGCACAAGAATGTTCTATTGAAAAAATGCTTACCTCAAGTGGAACAATATTTACCCAAAGTGACGAAGGCACTCTGTAGCAGGTCTTCTTTGATGTCAGCTCTTCCTTTGAACTGTGAAGAGCTCTGGTTGTCACCAGCCATCTTCTCAGCCAGCCACCCCTCACTGCCATCCGCATATCACAGATGAAAGGCACTGTGCAGACCTTTCTATCCCCCCTCTTTTGAGAGTCATAGCTTCCCCCAGCTGGATGGGAAACTGAGACAGGACTGCAGGGCCAGAGTCCACAGCACACAGGGTCCACAGAAGAAGGGCAGTACCTCCCTGCCTCTCAGGAACTAGTGCTTCCTGGAGGGAAGTCGGGGCTCGAAGGCTCCCTGCACGGGGCAGGATACAAAGAGCCCTAGGCCAACCTTTCAAGGGCATATGTAGTATTGCCAATTTCTTAACCTTATTTTGCACACTCATATATAAGCCATAATGAGTTATTTAATTATGATGTGTAAGGCCAGGAGTTAATGAGGGCACAAATGACAAACTTTAATGATTTCTTTTTGCCCTGAGGTAATGAACTTCTGGCTTTACCTAACATTGGGCTGGTAATCGGATTCCTGTAAAATTAATCTTTGAACCTAAGGGTATCTCTGGCACTTTCTCTCTGTACATTCTGCGCGGGGGGGGGGGGGGGGGGGGGTGTAGAGGAAGGTAGGGTTAGGAATGAGACACACGGCACTAGGTAATGCTGTGTGGGTGTGGAGGATGGTCAGTCTGCAACTGGGAATGGCCCAACAGCCGCTGTGAGAAGTCAGTTCTGTCACCAGAGAGGAGCCTGTAGCTGTCATCAAGTAACATACCACCTCAGGGATAGACCATGGGGCTCAAATCCAGGTCTCTATGCAAGCCAGCATGGCTGCTCTGCCCCACCCTCTCAGGTCACAGCCCACCATTGTGGAGAAGCTGAGGCAGGGAATGGGAACTCCTATTTACACCCTCCGTCAAGAGCAGAGAGAATGCATGCACACCCTCTATGCAGCTCACCTTATACAGTCCAGGACCCAAACCAATAGTTTTCCCATATTGAATTAGGCAGTCAAGACAACCCCCAACTCACATACCCACAGGTCCACTTGATCTAGACAATCCCGCATCTAGATTCTCTTTTGAGGGAATTCTACCGTGTGTCAAGTTGACAATTAAAACTGATATCACACACACACACACACACACACACACACACACACACACACACACACACACACATTTAATTCTTATTTCCTGGTGGAAGGTTGGGAGTCTTCAGCCCCTCGGTTAAAATCGCACTGGGAGGTTTGACAAGTGGGGAAAGGCATGACAAGCTGGTGGCCCGGCTCCTGTCCGGCAAGCCTGCCCGGGCTTGATGATGCAACATTCCCTTCAGGCGTATGATCTGAACGTTTGGTCCCAGCTGCTGGAGCTTGTAGTGGAATATTATTTTAAGGTGTGTTACTTTTGCTTATGTTGCACTTGTTTAACTCTGTGAAGCTGTGTTACTGTGCCTGTGTAAAACACCCTATGGTCTAATAAAGAACGGAATGGCCAATAGCAAGGCAGGAGAAAGGATAGGCGGGGCTGGCAGACTGAGATTATATGTAGAAGGAAAAAACTGGGAGGGGAAGCAAGAAGCTAGAGAAGGAGGAGGATATCAGGGGACAGCCACCCAGTTACACAGCAAGCCACGGAGTAAGAGTAAGATTTACAGAAGAGAACAGCAAAAGCCCGGAGGCAAAAGGTAGTAGGGATAATTTAAGGAAAACTGTCTAGAAACTAAGCCAAGCTAAGGCCTGGCATTCATCAGTAAGAATAAGCCTCCATGAGTGATTTATCTGGGAGTGGGTCGTGCCCCCCCAAAAGAGCAAAAACAAACAACAGGAGCTGTCTTGGATAGTTCTGGAAACTTGGGGAGTAGCAGTAAACTGTGGGATGTGGGTCCCTGTGGGAGGGTGTTGAGGTCACTATACTTGGTTACTTCTCTGCTTCCTGCTTGGCTGTGGAGGAAGTTGGCCATCTTGACTCAGGATCCAACACCATGATTGGAATTGTTTGCTATGCCTTCTCCATCATGATGGGCTAAAGCATCTGAAACCAGGGGTGAAATCCTTCTCCCTTCAGGTGTTACAGTCAGGGATTTTGGTCTTAGCTATGAGACGGTACATAAAACCAAGTGAAGGGCTGGGGGCTCTGGCCCTTTAGACATAGGGAGAAGGCTCATCTCTTGGTGGGACATCCAACCTAGGTTTGGGGGGCCTTTTTACTCTGGAGCTCAAACCCAAGGCCTCTTGTAAGCTGGCCTAGTTAAGATTTGACTACTGTGAAGAGATACTATGACCATGGCAACTCTTACGAAGGAAAACATTTAATCTGGGGTGGCTTATAGTTCAGAGGTTTAGTCTGTTATCATCATGGCAGGAAGCAAGGTTAGGTATGTAAGCAGACATGGTGCTAGAGAGGTAGCTGAGAGTTCTGTATCTGGATCCACAGGCAGCAGGAAGAGACAGTGAGCCAGTAAGCCTGGCTTGAGCTTCTGAAACCTGAAAGCCCATCCCCAGTGACACACTTCCTCCAACAAGGCCACACTCCCTAACAGTGTCACTCCCTTGGGGGGCATTTTCTTTCAAACCACCACACAGGCTAAGCACACAATCTGTAACTGAGGCCCTGGAGCAGAGATTTTTTTGGGACAATGCAATTTCCTGCTGGGGTTCCTGATGTTGCCCTGGTTTGTGGTATCTGCTAAACGTGGATCTGATGACCCTGCACTCAGGGGAGAGCATGGCAGAGTCTGGAGACTCTGCCCACCATGCTCATCTCATTTCATTCATCTTTCACCCAGAGCCTCCATCCAGATCTCAGGAAGAGCGACTATGAAGTCAGGGGCCGAGTCTGTGAAGCTGTGTGAACATGGGGGGCCTTCCTCAGTTCCATGTCCTTGGACTCAGTGAGTTAAACACAAGCTCATTGGGCTGCTGAACAACCAGAGCGGAAGGCTCAGGCTCTGCCGTGTGGGGTCGTGAGAGTGAGAGCTCTGGGAAGGAGACACAGCCCTGTTCTTCGGGTGGCAGGACAGTCAGGTGAGGGGCAGTTTTTTGTTTGGATAGAAGAGATTCGGGGATAGTAAGAGTGCTCTCACTGTCAACCACGGGGTCCAGGGAAGCTGAGGGCTTGAGCAACTGCCCTGGATAAAATATTTTCTGTGAGCTTCTGGACACTGTGGCATGCCGAGCTCAGCTGGAGTCCCGAAGGAAGCAAGGTGTTGGTGAGTGAGGGTAAGAAGTCTGGAGTAGGAAGGTAGTGTGTCTTCTGAGAGTGGAGGTGAGGTGTAGGGCAGCTGGCCAGAGCAGGAGGAGCTCCGTACATACTAGAGTGCCGACTCATTCAAGGGCAGAGAGGCCACCTAGTGAACGAGGTCACCCAGGGGGAGCATCCTTATTGCGGTGGGCTCCCCTCTACAGGGGACTCGGAACATCTCCTACTGTGCTAACTGAACAGCCTGTTTCCAGCCAGAACAGGGTGCCTAGGGGCCAGATGTTTTAGAAGTTTCCTTCTCAGGAGTGCACTTTATCCTGCCTACCTAAGGCAGAAGGGTGTCTCAGCCTCTTCACTGGGGACATTCTGGCCCCATCATCTCTTGTTGCTGGGGACAGTCATAGTCATGGACTGGTGTTCTGTGATGATTCCTGCAGATCCCCCAGCCTCTGCCCACTCTAGGCCAGCTACACTCCTCAGTTGTAATACCCCAAATTTCCCTAGACATGATCCATGTCCCTGTCTCTTCCACTGGTCCTCGGGAGTCTTGCACATTGATTTTGGAGAGATTGCCCCAGCATCTGGCTTTGTTTTTGGTATAACAAGGTCTCCCCCAGTGGCCTCCTATTCCGCCCTGTAGGCTGCAGTCCTGAGCATTCAGCAAGGCTCTCAGCAGCTGAAGCTGGGCTGGCCTGAGCTCATGATGGTTCTGGGCTATGTCACTAGGACCTCATGCCTGTGGTGAGCCACTCACTCTCCTGACGTATACAGTGCCCACAAGTTACATCCTTTCCAGCACACAGTCCCCCACCACGTAACCCCACCATGCAGCTCCCCATCAGTGGCACATTATACAAAGCTTCACTCCCTGAGTCCCACCTTCCCATAGTCTCCTCTCTGCCGTGTGTCTCTAGCTCGAGAACATCAGGTTGCTGGATCCACAGGCCCCTGTGGAGCACACACTCTGAGGTGACCACAAACAAGAGACTCTTGCCCCGTGACCCGGCTCTGTTCACTTCCTATAACTGTGTTCTGCCAGGCTGGACAGTGGTCCTGATTCTGAGTTCTCCTTTATCGTATCCTCCACATTCTACCCCATTTCCAGTCAGCTCCCATCAGTTCCCTGCAGGAAGCCCCTCCATGTGGGTCCACTTGTGTGAAGGTTCTAACTGGCCTGGTAGAGACCAGACCGAGCCAAAGGTGGTCATTTCTCATCCACCCACAGGAACCAATCTGTGGAATGAAGTCTCTCCCACCCCTCTCACAAGCTCACGAGATCAAGATGTCAGTCACACACGCAGCGCCAAGGACTCTCACACCCCTCAGCCTGGAGTTGTTTTTGTACCGAGACTGCCGTGCTTGTTCCCAAACCTGCCGGCGCCCGCAGCACTTGCTGGTGTAATTACATCCTGTAGCTAAATATTACAGAAAACAACAGCATCTGAGTGAAATGGAGAAAGGCTGATGTTTCTGGAGAAACTGGGATTTGGGGGAAAATGCTGAAGAGGCAAGATACTAAAATTTTCCTGTGAGTTTTGTCTCTGAGAGACAGAAGGCTAGGATTTTCAGTGGGGAGAGGGTGACATTCACTTGATGGCAAAACCCACTGCTGCGTCAACTCACCTGTGTGTCCTTGGGCTGGGTTAAAAGCTCTCCTGTAATAGGCGTGAGCAGGTAAAGCCCAAGGCACAGGGCACATGCTGGCAGATGAACCACTGAAGCTGTGTTTAATGTTAAAATGTTTAGGACACATGCCACCTTCAGGGGTGAGCTCGTGGTGTGGTGGCAGGCGCTTTAACATGACCACTGCACACCTCTGCAGATCAAGGTGTAGAGACACCTGGATTCAGGAGCAGTACTGGGCTAAAATCCACAAATGCTGACTCCACAGACACACCTCTGCCAATCAAGCCCCCACAATCTCCCAAAGCAGTGTCACTATCCAGGGACCAGATAACCCGCCCCCCTCCTGTAGAGAACATTTCAGATTTAAATCCTAACAGCCAGCAATAGAATATGTGTCATTGGAGCACGTGAGAGGAAAATGACAGGGGTAGGTGGCAGACTTAGCAATCCTTGGCACATGCTATACACTCTGATGTAGGGAGAAGAAACAGACATGATCACCCCTCTCCAAAGAATTAATATCTATCTATCTATCTATCTATCTATCTATCTATCTATCTATCTATCTATCATCATCATCATCATCATCATCTTAATCATCCATTCATCCATCCATTATCTTATTTCTTAGGAAGTACATACCCCCTCTGTTTCTCAAATGTCTCCAAATATGGACAAGTTTTTAAGAGAATCCCGAGAAAACGGACACCCATTGGGAAGGGGGCAGGCACAAACAGATGAGAAAGAAGTGACAATCACCCAGCTTGACAGACAGATGTCTCCAGGGTGACATCAATCAGGCCTCTTGGAACTAAGGTCCCACGGCTCAACACCTGGACAGTCACGCACTGAAGTGTGGGTTTGCTTTGCTTGCAGAGTCTGCTTTACTTGGTGTCTGGTTGGAAGGCAATATCTCTTAAAAGGTAAAATATAGCTCATAAAGATTATTTAGCTTTTTTTAGCTCCTTCTGTAATAAAAAAGAAACATATAGCATGGAAATGAGCGATTTATGGAGGCATGTAAAGGAACACATTTCCCTAGCAAGTCACTGAAATTTAATTTAGAGTGGAGCCAGGTAAAGGGTTGCATCTCAAAGTTGCTTATTTCCCCCTTTCTGGTGACATTGCTTTCCCTCTAAAAGCAGCTGAGCTCAGGGAAGGAGCTACTATGTCCCCAAATGTTGGACACTAGGTCTATCCAAGAGATGAGCAAACTGGACATTTCACACTGGGAGGGGCACAGAGTGCTGCCCCCCAAACCCTCATCCCCTACCTCACTAGATACCATTGATAATACATTCAACAAATGTCGTGCCTGCTGTGGGCTATCCCCATGCCAGCTGGGCACTTGGTGTTCTGCCCAATTCACTTGTCCACTTAGTGACTGGATCCTTTGTTCTCACAGTCTTTCAAGTTTTGAGTTCCTTATCTATTCTGGATGAACGACTAGCAAAGATTTTCTCCTATTCTGCGGGACATCCTCTCATTGTGCTGACTATTTCTTTTGCCCTTCAGAAGATTTTAATTTGATATAACCCTGTTTACTTGCTCCTTTTGTTAAGGTTTTTTGTTTGTTTGTTTTTTTTTGGCTGTGCTAGGCAGGCACCCTACCACTGACCTACCTCCCACCCTCCCTGACAACTCTTAGTGTTACCTCCTGAGCTAGCCAGAAAACTGTTGTCTGCACCTATGTCTTGAAAAGTTTCTTTTACGTTCTCACCTGGAGGCTTCCGAATTTTCAGTCTTACATGAAGGTCTTTGACTGATTCTGAGTTGATTTGTGTGCTGTGAGAAGATGTAGGAGTCTCCTCTCTGTTTTCTGTTGTTGACATCCAGTCTCCCTGGTGCTCGAGGGAGAGGCTGCCCCTTTCTCCAGTGGTTTTGCTCCGTGTCAGGAATCTAATTGCTGTGTCCATGTGGGCTGATTTCTGATCTATACCACTCTGTCTACAGTTCTCCAGTAGACCATATGGGAGCTGGGTTGTTACCCCTTCAGAATTGCCCCCTTTGTTCAGGATTGCTTGGGCTTAATGTGTAGGCTTGTGAGCGGTCCCAGATGAATTTACGGATTTCCTTCTAGCTCTGTGAATAACTTCATTGAATTTGGCAGTGATTGCACAGACTGTGTAGGTCACTTTTGATAATAGGTCACTTTCTCAGGACTGTTTGTAATGGCTCAAGACCACGAGTGACCTCTTCACACGAAAGCAGCTTCAGTGGTTTCTCCGTCAACATTTCTCTCTGGTTGTCAATGTGGAGTCCTGAGATCAAAGAGTACTCTTACACCCATCTGTCTCAGTTTTTCTAGGCTTCTGTAAATGGGTTATCTTATTTTCTCTATTGTTTTTGGGCTGTGTGTCTCTGTGTGTGTGTGTGTGTGTGTGTGTGTTTGTGTGTGTGTGTCTGTGTGTGTGTGTTTGTATGTGTGTTTGTGTGTGTGTGTCTGTGTGTATGTCTCTGTGTTTGTATGTCTGTATTTGTGTGTGTGTCTCTGTGTTTGTATGTCTGTATTTGTGTGTGTGTGTGTGTGTGTGTGTGTGTGTGTGTGTGTGTGTGTGTGTGTGTTAAATATCTGACAGAACAACTTAAAGGGAAACGACTCACTTTTGCTCACAGAGGTTTCATGGTTGGCTGGCTCTACTGTTTTCTGGGCCGTGGTGTGGGAGAATATCATGATAGGAGGACACGATAGAGTCAAGTTTCTCACTTCATGTTTGCCAGGAATGAGAAAGGAGGGAGAGAAGGAGGGAGAGAGGGACAAAGGGGGGTAGGTAAGAGGTAGGCTGGTGACACCGTTCCCTAGGCAGGGGTTCCTGGACAATGGTAGAAGAGAAGAAACCTAGGCTAGAGTGACTGACTTGACTGTTTTAGAATTTTAGATTATAAGTTGGGGTTGCAAGCCATATAAAACTTTTTACTCCGCTGTGTTGCTTTCAGTCAGGGGGTCTGTCATAGCAACAGAAACGGAGGTAGACAAGTCCCCAGCTTAGACTGGCAGCGTCGAACCTTGCCTTGGACCCTCAGTCCTTTGTCTACACAGCTCTGAGCTACAGGCGGCAGGTAGGGTAATTATCCTCGCCACCCTCCAGTACTTCTCTTACTTAGCTGGACACATGGAAACACAAAGGGGAGTTTTACGTAATGTAGAACTGCAGGGTTTTAGGCTGGAGAACTTTAGAGCCAGAGAAGAGAGTAGAGAATAAGAAGAGTGACCAAGGAGCAGAGCACACAGCCGAGAACAGGTACTTTGTAGTGCAGCCCAGTCCTTCTGACCCCTCAGAGTGTGTATGTCATCAGTTGATGTCACTGCTATTGAGGGACACAGTAAAAGTCATAGTCACAGTAAAAGGTGTGCCATGGACCACAAACAGGGACGGCTATAGGAGAGACAAGCATGGCCCAAGAGAGGATTTCAATGAGCCCATTCCATCTTAGGAAACACAGCACATTAAACATACAGAGAGTGTCTGAAGCAGTCAAAGGCTGGGTGTGCCTTCCTGTCATTGCTGTGCTGTGCCACGTCTCTCAAATGGGGCTGTGGGGAGGGACCATTGGCATCAAACCATCCTGCTCTTCAAGAACTCATAACTTGGAAAATTTCCCAAAACCTTCAAGATGGCTTTAAACTATCAAGAGTCAACCCCGCAGTAAAGGCTGGGTCCAGGTACACCTCCACATGTAGATGAGTAAGAAGACTCATCCGTGTTGAATCATGCCCAGAAGACAAGGTCCAGGTATACCTCCACATGTAGATGAATAAGAAGACTCATCCATGCTAACTCATGCCCAGAAGACAAGGTCCAGGTGTAGCTAGAGTTTTCCTTCCTGGCCCATAGTCAGGACAAATCTCTGTCACCCGCCAGTCCCACAGCTGCTCAGACCCAACCAAGTAAACACAGAGACTTACATTGCTTATAAACTGTATGGCCGTGGCAGGCTTCTTGCTAACTGTTCTTATATCTTAAATTAATCCATTTCTATAAATCTATACCTTGCCACGTGGCTCGTGGCTTACCGGCATCTTCACATGCTGTTTGTCATGGCGGCAGCTGGCAGTGTCTCCCTTCCTCAGTCTTCTGCTTCCCAGAATTCTCTTCTCTGCTTGTCCCACCTATACTTCCTGCCTGGCCACTGGCCAATCAGTGTTTTATTTATACAGAACAATATCCACATTATCCAGGTCTCTTCATGCCTAGTCAAAGCAGACTTGGTCTGCCTTTGAAGGCCCACTCATGTCTCCTCTGCATCTAGCATTCGGCGTTAGGGCCCATGATCCATGAGCGATGATTCATCTAATCAATAGTCATTGATCTAACATATGGTTTGGACAGTTCCTGGGCTAGCCTGGGGGTTGGTAGCCTGTACAAGCTCCTGAAGTTTGGTGGATTTCCCATGCTGAGTTTCCCAGGCCAGGTCTGCAAAATGGTCCTTCACATGTCCCAGGCCTGAAGTCTTCCTTCACAGCGACATTTGGTGCTGGCTGCATGGCAGCAGGGCCGAGGAGAGGTAGAAGAGAGGCAATGGATGCCCCCAAGATCCCCACCTGGTGTTCCATGGAAGCACAGGTAGCTTTTGTTCACTAATACTTTTATCACCCCATCTTCATGTGACAAATATGAACAATTAAATCCATCTACTGGAATAATTGCTTGCAAATCGATGAAGAACTCAACTTAGGATGACAACTTTAGTGACCTGCACGTCCCCGTGCTGTGTAAAACAGCCACGTTATCCAGAAGAAATGGAAGGAAACACAAACACATTGTCCGTGTCCCTAGATTGTCCAGCTTTGGGCTATTAAGCCCCTCAAAAGTACACCAATTCCCCTAGTAGAAAATATATTTACAAAGCTCCTGATTGTGTCACCAGAGCACAGTTGCCTTGAGATAAACCTCCTGTAGCTGGGGAAAGGACTGTACACGCCCGTAACCAAGCCCAATTATATTGAGAACCAGCAGCCAGATTCCTCTGTCCCCGCAGTTCCTGGAGTGTGAAGAGAGAGAGAACAAACGGAAGGAGAAAACTGTACAGCATCGTAATGATGAGAGTGGGACGTGGCAGCCCGCCTTCCCTCCACCCCTCTTCCTGCGCGTCTGTCTAACGAGAGTGGAGAGAGCTGGCACTTCTCCTGGCCCTCCTTGCTCCTCCTCCTCTTGTTGGAAGGCGCCTGTGTCCCAGCCTCCCTTGCTTGGTTCCAGTTGCCTGGAAGTGTCTTGGAATAAATAGCCTGGAGAGTGGCCAGGCGTCCTCTGTTTCTTTCTCTTCCGTAATTAACTTGGTACCGAGTTGCTTCTCTGAAATGAACAACCCAGCCCTTCCTTCTAGGCAGAAATTTCTGTGAGGAACAAATAGGATCTGAAGCAAATCTCAGGGTGCTGCTTGATGGATGTGCCTGAAGCTGCAACAGAGGCTCCCTCCCAGGAGCCACAGTTAGAGATCAGACACAGTGGAACCAATGCCACAGCCTTTTTGGAAAAAATGAGCACACTGTGCAGACCCAGGGTGGGTTATTTCCATATGATATCCTGGGAAAGTTAATCAAAGCAGAGCCAGGGGAGCACCAGGGTTATCCTGAAGTGTTGAGAAATTAAATCCCCATTAGCCCCTCACCTGCCTCCCTCTTGTCTTTTCTAACATGTGCCCCTGCCTGTTGAGGCCAGAGACTGACTTGAAGCACCTTCCTCTATGGATCTCCACCTCACTGTTTTAGACTGGATTTCTCATTGAACCTGGAGCTCAGTGATGAGTTAGACCTGCTGGATAATGAGCCTCAGGGATCTGCCTAGCTCTGTTCCTGACTTAGCACTGGGACTGAACCATCTCACCTGGTTTTTACGTTTGTGCTCAGAATCCCAACTCAATTTCTTGTGCTTGTATGGCAGGCACTTCACCTCCTGTGGTGGTTTGAATGAGAACAGCTCCCATAGGCTTATATATTTGAATGCTTAGTCTCCAGTTGGTAGAACTGTTTGGGAAGGATTAGGAAGTGTGGCCTTGTTGGGGGAGGTGTGTCACTGGGGACACAGGGTTTGAAACCTCAAACTCCACACAAGCCCCCCTCTTCTCCGCAACTCTCAAATAAGATATGAGTTCTCAGTTACCACTTCCATCCCTGCCTGCCTGGTGCTATGCTCCCTGCCATGATGACCATGGGTACTAACCCTTTGGAACCATGAGCTCCAACAAATTCTTCCTTTTGTAAGTTGTCTTTGTCATGGTGTCTCTATTCAGCATTAGAAAAATAACAACGACGCCCACAGAGCCATAACCCCAGCCCCTCCCTTCGGTTTTACAAAAACTGAAACTGCCTACACCATTACACCCTTTACTTTATAAAAGAGGCACTGAAATTTCTGGGGAGCATAGAGTTGGAAAGTGACTCTACAAGAGGCTTAGTGTCTCCCCTGTTACCTGCAACTAGCCCCACAAGGTTCTGCGGTTCTAACGGCTTGGGTTTGCCCACGGATCATTACCGGAAAGGTTGAGAGAATCTCCACTGGTTCCTTTGGGTCTCAGAAGGTGCCTCAGGGATCCCCAGCATTGCACACTCCTTGCCCTGAATGAATAGCTCAGGACTTGGGAGTATTGATGTGTGGTAGTCTTGGCCATTCTTTGTGCTGTGTGTAGGGCACAGAGCTGGGGTACCACTGGGCTGTCTGGCATGTTATAGACCCTGTTCTCAGGAAGGAAGGAATTCAGGGCTAGGCAGAACTTAGCAGACCAGAGAGTTTACTGGGGTTACTTTATGGAAGTGTGGATGCCTCAAAGGCAGCCAAAAAGCCTACCCTAGCATGGGTGGGGACTCACAAAACCAGCACCACTAGAGCCCACCCCCAGCATCCAGCACCCCCAGCATCCAGCTCCCCCATCTCCCCATCATCCAGTCCCCCTGACCCCCCAGCATCCAGACCCCCCAGCATCCAGCTCCTTCCCCCAGCACCCAGCCCCCTCCCCCAGCATCCAGTCCCTCACCCCCCTAGCATCCCGCCCCAGCATCCAGCCTCCCTCCCCCTACCCCAGCATCCAGGCAGTGAGGAGGAGACTCTCATACCAGCAGTTCTTTACTGTTTTTGTAACCTTGGGGAAGGAACTCATGAGTCTGGTAAGTTCTATGAGTTTCTTAAACTTCCTCCTCCCCTTAGGGGGGAAGTTTCAGTTTAAGTGAAACAGCAACTCATTTTCCTCAACTCAGCTCTGCTCCATAGCTTCTGCATTAGTTACATTTCTGTTGCTGTGATGAAACACATGTTGAAGGAAGAGTTTATTTGGCCTTATGGCCAGGAAGCATGGCAGTGGCCAACCGTTTCAGCTGCAAGCACCAAGCAGACAGCAAACTGGAAGTAGGGCGTGGCTATGTACTCCCAATGCTGGCTCCCCAGTGACTGACTTCCTCCTGCAAGGCTGCACCACCTAACACCCCCCCTCCCCCACCCAAATGCCACCAAC